CTTGCAAATCACCAGCTATGTGATCATAGCAAATTGCTAGCCCTCTCTGCTTTTTGGTTTCTTTGCCTGTAAATCGGAATAATAATATTATCACTTCACAGGATTATTATAAAGATTAATAAAATGCTTATAAATTCCATAGTATGTGCTTGGAATATGATAAAGAGCTCAACAAATATTAGCTACTATCAATATTATCAGTATTTATACTAATATATGGTGACCATTAGCATTTTTGGCCAGTATAAATTTTATTTTATTACATTTTAAAAATAATAATGTATTTTATTAAATTTTATTAAAAGGCCACTTTTATTAAAAAGCACTGATAATTAATTCGGCATTCCCATTCTTTTCCTATTTCAACACTGATCAATTATTTTTTCTTTTGTTAATCCTCATCTGACAATATTTTTTCAATTGATTTTTAGAGAGTAGAAGGGAGGGAGGGAAAAAGGGAAGAGGAGAGGAGAGGGAGGAAGAGAAAGAGAGAGACATCTATGTGAGAGACACACATTGATTGGTTGCCTCCCACACACCCACTGACCAGGAACCTGGGATTCAACCTATAACCCAGGTATATACCCTTGACTGGGAATAGAACCCAGGACCCTTCAGTGCATGGGCTGACCAGCCAGGGCCAACACTAATCACTTCTTATGAAGTTCCTCTGATCTCTACAATTGTGCAGTTTATCTCTCAAATGGTTGGATGCCTCAAATGGCTTTTAGACTCAATTTAAGGACCAGTTTGCTAGAGTGATGCTAAGAGAAAATTCATCTAATTTGCCACAACTAAATTAACTTCTAACATACAAGGGGACATATTTAAGCAGCAAACTGTTGATAAAAAAAAAAATTCTCCTTATTCTATGTGGACTTAAACTTAATAATTAAACTTACATTCACATGTCCAAAGCACACACAATGAGCACAATTTAAATATACCTAAATTACTTAATAAACCAAAGGAGGATACAAAGTCTTTTCAACTAATTACACCCAACAAAGTTGGTTTTATTTTCTACCTTCATGGGTGTTAGGATGGCTTTTTAAAAAAATCCTTATCAAGTCTCATTAGGAACACTGGCCATATTTTGAACTAAGTGCAAAACATTTTATAATCCAATCTCTTACATGCCAGTTACAGCAGATCTTTCATTTTCAATACAATGTTATTTTCTATTAAGCCTTAAGGCAAAATCTTGTCACTGAACACACGTGTGTGGGTGGGCGTGTTGCAAATGCAATCAATTGACACACCACAACTGAAGTGGCTCTGCTTTCTCCATCCTCAATTTTCCAGCAGAATTGCTCATGTCAATTTCTTTATGTTGGAGATTTATAAGGTAAAGGTATTTGTTAGGCCAGACTTGGCAATTTATGGCCTCCACACGGGGCCTTTCCTAGATCCCTGTACCTGGGCTTGGCTTTTTGGGCCAAGAATACACCTCATCCCTGAAAGGACAAGGCTCTCCCGTTTCTCTTGCTCAGTGCTCATGCAGTCATGGTTCTTTCTCTGCGAATGATACCTCTTGTTGTGCAGACAGCAGGTCCCCCTTTCCCTGTGGAGTGTCTCATAACTGAGGTTCTTTTTTTTTTTTTTTCCATTTTTGTTGTTGTTGTTGTTCAGACAGAGTGGGAGGGAGAGCGAGGAAGAGAGAGAGAGAGAAACATCAATGTGAAAGGGACACATCGAGTGGCTGCCACCCGCACGACCAACCAGGGCTGGGGACAAACTGCAACCAAGGTACGTGCCCTTAGTGGGAACCGAACCTGGGTCTCTCTGGACCACAGGCCGACACTCTAACCGCTGAGCCAAACCGGCCAGGGCATAACTGAGGTTCTGATGTTAAATCTGAGGTGAGGCAGTCATAGCAAGATGCCACCTCCTTTACCTACCTACCAAAATGCATGGCCCTCAGACGAAGAATTACCATCACCACTAGGGACTAACAGTGCAAACGGTTCCTTATTCACGTAATCTTCAGAGATGTTAGCTTTAGTTGTGGTTGTTATTCGGATGTCATGGGTGGAGAGAGTTGCATTCCAGGCATCAGATGAGGAAGCAGAGGACCCCACACAGTTGCTTCTTCCTCAAAGAAGCAGTACCTCTCTTTGTCCTTTTATATTAATGGACTTTCTCAAATGATCTTCAATGGTCCTCATTCCTGCTGATCTTTTAGGAGACACTGGAGTGGGGGGGCACTCCTTTCAAGTCACCTTCCTGTAGACAGGTTTCCAATATGATTCAAGGCCACATCTCAGGCAGGGAATCGGGTTTCTACAGCTCAGAGACTTACTGCTCCTGATAAATTGCTCTGAGTACCAAGGCTACTGCTGTCATATTGCATTCTCTTGACTATTTTCCAGCGCCCTACTCCCTCCACACACACTCTCCTCAACCCATTAGACTCCATTCCCAAGTCACATCCAAATCAGTTTTCTGACAAAACACACTGGAGAGAGCTGAGTGAGCACAGCACCTGAAGCACCAGATGCTCAAAAAATGTCTGTGAATGAAAAGCTTTGGAACTCTGGAGTGAGAGATGGAGGTGGAGATTATACCTTCAAACCTCTGCAGGTTCTCATGGGGCACGTGCCAGTGGCAGAGTCAGGCTGAGGGATTACTGGAGGGAGAGGCATACTTTAAACTGATCAGCAATTGGTTCCTTGAGGGCAGGGAGTGAATGGTGAACTCCCATCTCTGTATAAGTAAAACCACCTAATGGGAACATTGTAGAAAAGGAATTAAACATCAAATGGTTAAATGGATTAGCAAGTCTTCAGGGTCCCTTTCAACCCTTGGCTTTTATGAGATTCTTGAGGGAGAAAAAAGGGAGAGGTAGAAAGAAAAAGAAACCAAAGAGGAGAGAAGGCAGAAAATTAAATAATAAAATTTAAAAGGAGACAGGAAGGAAGGCCGGAGGCTGGGGATCATTTTTTGCCATGTCAAACATTCAGACAGGAATGAGAGAGCTCTAAGAAGGCTGGTATCTCAGGGGACAGTCAGTGGAGTGTCATGGCACCCTGGTCTTTCACCTCCAGCACTCACCCACTCCTGTCCTGTGGGCAGAGCCTTTGGGCCTGGCCTTGTTCAGGGGGCATGAGCCCTAGATGAGCAGTGTGTGTTTCTCCTTAGGAAGCGTGGCCCAGGACAAAGAAGTGACAGAATTCTCAGCAACTCTGCATATTTCCTTGGGGGCACTCAGGACCCTAGGGGAAGGAAAGGTCCCTAGGGGAGTCCTTAATCAATAGGACAGTGGGAACAGGAAGAATTCCTTCTTCTCCTTCACCTTAATCCCTTGACCAGAGGATTGGATTGGACCCAAAAGATAAGCACTCAGGGGCCCAGCCAGGCCTGTGCCCAAATACAAATACAATCATGTGGGTGGATTCCTAAATCAATCATAGGAATTGGGCCAGCCCTGACCCTTGCTCAAAGGCAGCATTTTCAGGTAGAAAAAAGCAATCCTTTTCCTAAAAGATTGTATTTCTGAGCTGTGTTCCTGACAAAGTGGGGTAGGCTACAGTGGCAGGGCTTGGGCTGTGGCTCTCAGAAGGGAATTTCCCTCTAAGACAGCTTTGCTGGTCTGGGCAGGGAACCTGGACTCCAGCCCTGGGAAGGGTCACACTCATCACCTCTGCCAGGAGACAGGCTTGGATAGCAGGCTTGGTATGTGGACCTCGGCCTGGTCCCCAGCTTGGATTTGGTCCAAATAGAAAGATCTACCACCCACAGAGGGAATAGGGATGGAATCTTCATTTGCTCCCCTCAATTTTATTCCTTTCCTCTTCCATCTCCCTCCCTGACTATTCCCTGTCCTTCAGGGAGATTTGGCTGAAACATACAGTCAGCCTGATCCATAACACAGCATACACTGTGGAGCCCTCTGTCTCTCCTGTAACCCACCCAAAAGCCTCGTTCCAGAGACTATTAAATCAGTGTACTTTCAACCCGACACTATATGTGTACCCACCTTAGCCCACCCAGCAGCTTCACACACTCTGACAGTTGTCCATGCACTATTCACTGAGCACCCATCCCCCAAACACTTGTGCACAGGCACTGACTTGTTCTGTGGAGTCCATCTTGCCAGGTTGCCCCTTCTCTGCTCTCTATTATTTGTCTGCTCTGTAGTTAGCTATTTGTGACTTCTTTTGTGCAAGCCACAGCAGTCTTGCCCCTGTTAACCTCTTCACTGGTTTCTCAGAGAATTTAAGAGGCTGGTGTTGAGATACAAAAACTAGGCAGTCCTCTCTCTCTCTCTCTCTCTCTCTCACACACACACACACACAGCCACACCCCATGACAGAGACAGGGTCGACCCAAGCAGAATTGTGTACACACACAACACACCCCGGAGTTTCTCATCTTCAGTCAACAGAGACTCGCCCTCTCCTTGCGAGCCCTCTCCACTCACTACCAGCCAACCACCCCACACACGTGGTTTCGTCCCTCAACACCTGAGCTGGAGACTCAGGGAGCAGGCGGGGGTGTAAGCACCTGACAAAATCACGGGACAATCAAACAAACACGAGATCTTACAAAGAATCTCTAGGGGAGGGGCCCTGGGGCTCCTACCTTCAGCGGTTTCCTCCTGCACCCTCCCCCAGGCTTCCACTCTCAGTCCGATGACAAAGAGTCACTGAGCCCAGTTCAAATCGATTGTTTTATTGACTGTGTACATACAGACACGCCTTTAGAAAAGGGCGCGGCCCCGGGGAGCTACTCGGCCCCGGGCCGCACTTGTGCTGCGTTTCGCGGACCCGACTGTTCCGGACGCCCGAACCCGCCCCCGCCCCCACCCCCACCCCTACCCGCTCGATGTTTTCCTTCAAGAACAGAAAAGGACCCCAAGCCGGAGTCGTCGCCACGCCTCTGCCCTTCTCTTCCCTCCCCGCCCGCCCGCCCGCCCGCCCCCTACACTACAAGAGCACACTTTACGGGACACAGACTTTTCTCCTACAGAGCACGCTCATCTAGGACTACAAGCCGGGCGAATACTATTGTCATGGAAGGAGGGGCGGGGTGGGGAGGGACCAAGGGCTCTTCCCAGTCCGGATCCCGCTGCAGGTTACGCACAGGCTTTGTGCGAAACAGGGCGCACGCCCAAAAGGCCAGTTGCTTCTCATGGCCTCCGCGCTTCTCCAGCTGAAGTCTGGGCCCCGAGCAGCAGCGGAAGTGGAGTTGACCAGTGACTGATCTCCGGAAAACCCAACCAATCCACAACGAAATTGGCTGGGGACCAAGCCTGCACCCTCTGCGGGAAAAGGGTGCGCGGTTCGTAGGCTCTTTAAGTTAGGGCGGGAGAAAACGGTCCCCTGCCCCCCAACACACACACACACACACACACACACACAATTTTCCCAAAGGTTGGAAGAAGTGTTAGCACCAGAGCCGGAGTGTCGCTGTCTGAAAACAAGGAGAACATGAAAATCCGAGCGCGGAGCTGAAAGGCGCCCGGGGCACCTGGCTCAGCTCCAGCTGGGAAGCGGAGTGGGGTAGGGGAGCAGAAGGGTTTGGTTCCCAGGCGCAAGAGCGCTTTGAAACTAAAAACTAGGGAGTTGTCACCAAACTCTAGCTTCTAGGACATGCACCCCAGAAAGGGCAGAGTCGGGGTTGAGGGGAGATCTCACAGTGCTCCACACTAGAGACGTCTTTTTGGAGTCCGGGACCAAACCCCGTGCCACAGTGTTACCGCCAGATGTTTCCAACGTCTTTTCCCATTTACTCTGGCTCCAGGGCTCACAGTGGGGCGGGCTGCGGGGCAGATTTCGAAGATAAATGCGTGGGGATGGAGAGGCGTGGATTTCGCCTCACGGTCAGCGGTAGTGTCTTATATGAGGAGAAAGGAGCAGGGAGCTGTGCTTGCCGGAGGGAATTTAGCCCACAAGGACATTGATGATCGTGGGTGTGGCGAGGGACTAGTGAAATCGTTCCACTCCCCACTGGAAGTCCCCAGGTGTCAAGAGTGGGGGGTAAGAGGGCGGAGTAAATGGGAGGGGGGGGGCATAAATCCTGCCAGCCCTAGGTTTCTGTTCCCAGGCGCCCAAGGTGGGGGTTGAGACTGGGAGTACAGGGCTGGCTTGGGGGTTCAGCCTGCTGTCTGCCTGTAGTTGCCGTTAATCTCCTGGGCAATGTTGACCGCCTCGGCACCCAAGGGCAGCCGGTCACTGTACTCGGAGCCCACCTCAAATTCCTCTTGGTTGGCCTTGGACTGGGACTCCACTAGCGAGCAGGCAGCCAGGCTCTCCTCCCTCTGCAAGTCCCCACCTGAGTGCCCCTGCTCCGCGTCTTCGTCAAGTCCATCCCCGGGAGTATCCTCTGGCTCCTCACCGCCCGTTTCGCCGACTGCTGGGTAGCTCTTCTCGGACTCGAGGTAGGAAGCACGCGGGTCGAAGTCAGTGGCAATGCGCTTCTCCATGGGATCGGGGATCTGCGGCCGCAGGATCAGACGGTAGGGCTTCCCCGGGTGTTTGGCCAGCAGATGGCAGCAAGCGGCTCCCAGCAGGGGCACGGTGGCCAGTACCAGGAGGAACACGCTCACCGCTACGATAACCAGCAGGGAAGGCAACTCCTTCTTGGTAGCGAACACCACTTGCACTTGGCAGGACTCCCCTGCCTGCGCCAGACACACGGAGTAGTTGGTGCCAGGCCGCAGGCCGCGGAACCAGTAGGCATTGACGCCCTCCTCCACGCGCGACCACTGTACTGCTGCGCCGCCCCCCGCCGGGCACAGATAGAGCCTGCGCAGGGGCCGCTGCCCAGACCGCCCAATTTCCCCAGCCCCGCCAGGCCTGGGGCCCCAGCGCGCCGCCAGCGGCGTCAGCTGCACCCGTGCCTCGCGCTCCGCAACGTCCAGCGCGATAATGCCCAGCTCAAAGACGTGTGGCTTAAGGTCCGCGCTCTGGTTGAACGCATGATTGGACACGTATCTCGAGGGGTCCCCGTGGCCACAGCGATGCTCCTCCGCCGGGTCCGCAGATACCTGATCGTCCTCCTCCTCTCCTTCGTCAGCCTCCTCCTCCGGCTCCGCCTCCGTCTCCCCAAGGAAGCTACCCCGGGCTGGGCCTCGGCCTTTGATTTTACCCTCGGGCTTGGAGGGTAAGACGCTGTTGCCCTGGCCTTTAGCTATGGACTTGCGCTCAGAGGTCGGGGCCTCCACATCCGGGTTTCCCCCGGAGCTGGGAGCATGCTTCGGGGAACCTGCAGCTGCCACCACCACGCGTACTGACGTGGAGTTGGCGCCCAACTCGTTGTGGGCACTGCATGTGTAGACGCCTGTCTCCTTGGCACTCAGGAGGGGCACCAACAAGGAGCCGTTTGTGAGTGCCAAGAAGCGTGGGGTGGCTGGAGGTGCGGGCCAAGCGGGTGCGGGAGACGGGTTTGGGGCCTCTGTCTGCGTCTGCCCGTCCCCATCTCTTTCTTCCTCCTCGTCTTCCACCCCGGCCCCATAGTCCTCCCCGCTCAGGACTGGCGACTCTAAGACTACAGTGCCACCCGGGATCTGAAGATGCCATTGCAGGCGGGGCGTGGGGTGTCCTTCGGCGACGCAGTGTAGCATAAGCGCCATGCCCGCGCGCAGGGGGCTACCCGTAACCTCAATAGGCGGCTCGGCACTCAGACGCACACTGGGTGGTGCACAGGGCAAGACCGGCAAGCGATGCACAGGAACTCCCTTCAACGCGGTTGGCGTGGCGCACGCAATGGAGTCAATCTCGGGTAGCGAAACTCTAGTGCTCTCAGCCCATGCCTGCAGCCACACAAGGCTGCAACCGCAGTGGAAGGGGTTGTGATAGAGTTGCAGATGTGACAGTGCGCTTAGAGCATCGAAGGTGCCAGGAGCCAGTGTGCGCAGCCGATTGTTGTTGATGCGCAGGGAGCGCAAATCGGGCAGCGCACCGAGTGCGTCCCGTGGAAGCGAGCCCAAGCGGTTATGGTTCATTTTGAGCAGCTGCAGCGCGCTCAGGTTACGCAGGTCGCTCCAAGGGAAGCTGGATATAAGGTTGTGGCTCAGGTCAAGGTTCTTGAGCAGGCTTAGCACGGCCAGCGCGCCCCGTTCCACCGTGCGCACCTCATTATGCGCCAGCCACAGCGACGTGACCTGCGTGACATCGGCGAAGGCCCCACGCCGCAGCACGGTGATCTTGTTGGCTGACAAACTAAGCGTAGTCACGTTGGCCGGCAGCCCTTCGGGCACCTCGCGAAGCTCCTTGTAGGCGCAGTCCGCGAACTGGTGCGCGTATTTGTCCACGCAAGCGCAAGGCTCTGGGCATGCTCCTGCCACTCCTAGCAGCACCCAGGCTAGCCACACTGCTCGCGAGGGCACCATTGCGGATCCTGCAGATGGAAGCGGGGGAAGAGCGGAGAAGGTGATTCACCGAGCCCCATCTTCCTTTCCCTATCAAGCTCTGCCTCGGAGAACCAGACTAGAGTAGGCCCGGGTAACAACTTCTGTGTCCAGGAGCCTCTCTTGGGCATGGGTGGAGCTCAGTAAAAGCTTGGGGATTCAATTCATGCTCCCTCTCGGAGTCCTGACTTCCTTTTCCAGAGGCCTTCTACCTTGCTTTTCCCCCCTATCTACCCCCTCACCCTGGCCCCTCTGCACAGCCTCTGCTGATGGCTAGTCTACCTTGAGCTCTGCACTAATCCCAGTGTTTCTACGCCTTTGTTTAACCCCGTGAAAAGGATACACAGAAAGGGTATTTTTGTCTGTGACCGTGTCCTCCCTCCAACTCTTTGTCCCGTGTACAGCACTGGCACACGCCCATAGAGTCGAACAACAATACAAACACACTCTCGGGCTCCGCCATCAAACAGCTAATTTCCTCAGGGGTTTAGAGGTTTACAACACAATTTGTAGACACACAAACACAAAGGCACCCTGACATAGACACAGTATACACTGAAGACGTCATTGTTCTCTCAGCTGAACCCAGCATTTGTACAGTGTTCTCCACAACGCCGCAAAGCGCTTTTCTATTCATTGCAGTAGTTGACAGACACAAGACCTCACGTGAACCGACCCACACACAGGGACACAAGCGTGCACTGGTGCGTGCACACAGCCCTCCACTGAGACCGAAATCCTAGTGGATCAGCAATGCGGAGAACTTGAGGCAGGTGGCAAGAGCCGTGGAACCCACGGAAGCCTACTCGCAGACCTCTCGGTCTCCGCGACCTAAGCTGCCTACTCTGGGTTGCAGATCTCTCCGGGGAAGAACCGGGGCTGCTCAGTCAGCCTTCCATCTGAGGAAGGAGGTCCTCCCGCATGCATGGACCAAGGAGTATGGTAGGAATGTTACTAAAATCCTTGCTCATACAGAAGAGCCCAGGGGCTCCCAAGGGAGCAGAGGGGTCCCTAGCCCCTGGGTCATGGAGGCTCCCACTAACTAAGGAAATAAGAGAAGGTTCAAGATTTTGCTCCTTTTCTGCAGCTCTAGGATACCCCAGAGCCCTCTCTAATAAAACCTTCTTATCCCCAGCCACACAATCGCACTTACACACAGATTGCCCGTTCCCACCTAGGGCTCCGGGCAGGTTTGGCAGAGTCCCTCCCACACCCCCGTCTTTGGGGACCCTTGCTCCTCATCCCACCTTTGCTCCGGGGAGAGGGCTCCATCCCATCTCTCCCTGGTCTCGCGGGGTCCAGCACCCTAGGCTAGGTCTACCCCGACTGGGATCGAGGTTGTGGGGCGGTTCCGCCGCTTACCCGCTGCTTGTTGACTCGCTGAGAGCTGCCTCGGGCTTCAACACCTTTTCCAGACTTACTTGACGTCTCAGAGAGGACGACAGCCCTAGGGCGCTTTCCACATCTGTTGCTGCGACTGTGGGGAAGAGAGGGGAAAGGGGCGGGTAAGAATGGGGTCTACCCTGGCCCTGAGTCCCCACTTCAGTCTTTCCTTTCGTTTCTGTTCTCTCCACCTCTCGCTAGCTGCAGATTGAAGAGAGTCCTCGCGCGCTCCCGGCTCCGCAGGGACGCGCACAGCCTCTCCCACCTCCCGCATCGTCTACATTTGTTAACGCCATAGAGGTTCTACTTCTGACCGAGACTTGTTTGGGCCCCCACGCCCACCGCCCCCGGCTGGGCTCTTTCCAGTTCACCGCACCCCATAACCCATGTCTCCCCACATTTACACATCTGCAGATATTGCCGCTATTCCGTATCACATCGCCCCCCACCACATGTTCAAGCACATTAGCACAAACCCTCACCGCCTCCACACAGTCAACCATCACATGTTAGAATTATCCATCATCATGTAATAATCGCGACGATATGTTGAGCTTGCACTACGTTCACACACATCTTCAAAGGCACACCTTCACCCAGGACACGCACACATTCACGGGTACTCACCCGCAAAAGCGGGTCCCGCCAGGGGCAGTGAGCTTCGCTGCTAATGGAATGAGAGCCGCTTTTATGACCTGCAACACATGAGACAACCCATCCTGGAGGAATTTGGGGGAAAGCAAAGCGCACAACTAAAGGGGGTCACGTTTTGCATTTAAACTCTTTTTGCAAATGCAGGTAGTGGGACAGACAGATCTCCAGTGGGACGGGCTGAGCCGCGCGCAGCTGAGCTCGCGTGTTCCCTTTTTCCCCGTACCCCTCATCAACACCCCCGCTTGCTGCCTTCTTCCAGAAGCCACGTTCAACACGATGCATAATTGATAGTGTTAGCAGAGCACCTCACCCTCCCTACCATTTTTGCCTGGATCTGGGCAGATACAAGCCCAGCCCCCCACCCTTCTCCCCGGCCTGTCCAACCGGAAGACCAGAACGCTTGGCCCTGCAGGGAGTACTAAGGAGCGACGCTCCTCCCCAGCTCAATCCCTATTCTGCCCAGCCTTTTAAGCCCGACTCTTTTACGTCTGTTCTTTTGTGGCTGAACTAGCGTTGAAGCCCACTACCCAAATCGCCGGCTGGTGCTCACCGCCGAGAGGGACCACGAGGGGCGCGTCATATCAGATTCCTCTCCCAGGAAGTCTGCCCGAGCGCACCCAACGCCTCACCCTCGGGTCTTGACAACTAGAGGCGAATGGGGGCATCGGGGCTGTAGCAAACAGCACCAAAAGGGATGGTTATAAAACGTCTACTCTTCTTGAGCAAAGTTAGCTGGGAATGCCGATACCTTCAGACTCACAAACACACCGCCAACCCCACACAGTGTTTCCACAGTCTGTGCCGCTCGCCACCTTCCCAGTGTCTCACACGTTCACACAACAGCTAGCCTCAACACACTACAATACTCGCTGTTCCGGACTCTGATGTCCTGTCTCTGGCGAAACCCCTACATTTTCTTTAACGATCACGAAGCAAAGGCTCAGGGATGCCAGGCATTTGGCTAAAAGTCGATTTCTGTCCCTCTGCACTGCCCACTGCAGCCCTGGAGACAGAGTTGATGGCCAGAATCAGGAAATGGGTACAGGCTCCCGGACATAGCAAAGCTCTCGCGTTTCCCAGTTTTTTCGTAGGCACTGAGCTTTCGGGTCGCCCTAGGTCCTCCAGCCCTCACCCTGGGCTGGGGGTGGGGTGGGGTGAGGTCTGTGGGGGTGGGTCGTTGCCAAGGGTTGGGGCCCTCTGAGAAGCTCAGTCTCCAGATTGAGCATTTTAATGAAATAGAGAGGTGGGGGAGAGAGACGGGCGATGAGTGCTGCATCTAAAGAGATCACCCGACCCGGGTTTCGAGGATCCTTTGTAAATTAAATATGAACAGACTGGAGCACGCACGCTCCGCCACCCTCCCTTTCTCCACCTACTGCAACCGCCACCGGAGGCCATTTGGGTTGGGACCGGCGCTTCTCGCTCAGCCCAGAATTCAGAACCCAGAACTTCATTCCATCTACTACTGTAGACCCCACAGCGGACCCAGAGGGAGGGCATTGGGGGGGGGGGGGTGAGAGCACCTTGACCTTGTGATGGGACGGGGGAATGGGGTCCATAGTTCGGAAGTTAGTCCTTGCAGTTTGGGCCTGGCTGGGTTAGGGAGTGGCGCAGCAGGCGCACCTGGCAAAGCCTCTTTGTCTGCGAAGCAAGGGGGTCTTCCTGGGAGTGTTGTCTGAGTCTTGGGAAACCTGAGGAGGCAGTTGAAAAAGCTATGGCCGGGGAGGAGGGGTCTGAGGGAGGCAGAAGCCCAGCATCGAAGGTGGAGTCGAGTCCAGACGGTGGGTGCCGGAGCCTTTCTCGTGTGGGGGCGGGGCGCCTAGCGCGGGCGTAGGGACCCAGGCTGGGGCGTGTAGACGCAGGGCTGGTGGACTCTCCTCCATCCAGTTCCCACCTCTCTTCTGGTTCTTTTTTTGCGAGGAGGTGGACGGAGAGGCGGGCGAACAGGGGACATCTTGGAAGGGTTGAGGGACTGTAAGACGGAGGCTGGGAGTGGAAGTGAGAATGGTTTTGCTCACTCTCCGCGGAATGTTACCCTGGACCGAAGGGACCGGTCCTGCCAGCGTCCCTGAAACCTCCGGAGCCCGTGGGCCAAGAAAAACATTTTCCCATGCTTTCTTGCCCGGGCTGCAGAAGCCGGGGAAATTCAGCTGGGAGATAGGCGCCGGGACCACGGCTAAGGGCGCAGCGGCCACTCAGAGAGGGCGCGGGCTCCCGCGGGCCCCTGTGGTTCCCGCCCACTCTCTAGCGAGAGCTTTTGTTCCCCGAGCGTGCCCTGCGGATAGACAACCCTTACCCCAGCCTTCGACCCTGGAGAGCCCAGTGCCTGACCCGGCAGCCTGAAGCCCGAGTTGCCCCTGGCAAGGTCCGCGAGAACTGGGGTAGGAGCCACGACTCCCGGGTTCAGCCTCCGAGCTCAGCTAGAAGATTGAGCGCTTGTCGTTTTGCGCCGCCAGGCGCGCAGGAGCAGTCTAATGACCATAATGTTAATAATGGTACAGTTACTGGAGGGGTTGGGGACAACAGGAACCAAGATACCACCCCCACCGCTGCTCACGTCTTTGATCGTTAAAGAAACAGGCCCCTAATCAGGAGAGTGGAAGTAGGTGTGGGGAGAGGAAGGCGATAAGGTTCCAAGCCTTCAGTGCGGGATTCCCAGATTCGGAATCTGTAGAATCCGGACTAAGGCTTTTTGGCCAGGATGGGGTATGGTCCTTAGACAGACCCAGAGTCTGAGAGCTGGAACTCCGGGCAGCTTTTTGTTGAACGACCTGTAACTTCGACGTTGTGGACCCCGCCGGTCCCAAGGGTGATGTGGGACGAAACCCAGTAGATCCCGGCACTGGCTTCCCTGGCTCGGTCCACTCAAGGTGCCCCTCTTAGGCCTGGTTCGCTCCCGCCCCCTGCTGGACACTGACTGACGGGCGCGGAGGCCCGGATCAATGGCAGGG